TGTCCATTGACAACTATACATTCATAAAAAATGCGCAATAAGAGGTCAATTAATGGAGAACTTACAATCTTATATCTACAGAACGAAAGAAATAGTATTTCCGTGGCAGGATTGAATCAACGTACAACCTCACCAATAGAATCGGTCAACTCAGTAATTCAACGGAGTTTTCCAGATCGAACCCATATTCTGAAGTTTGTAGAGTCTCTCAATTCAAAAAGAACTCTTTGAATCGATGAAGTCAACTGATCTCTATCAGCTAATAACCGGTGAGATAACAACACCGAAATTACAACAAAAAAGAGCAGAAGATAGAGAGCGTGACGAAAAGATCAAACGGTGGAGCGAATCTTTGGCTGAAAAGGAAATTACAGTTGCCCAGTTTCTCGACGGAATGTCGAAAAGAGATGTTCTACCATCGAATATATTTGAAAATGAAGAAGAATAAACGGCAAGCGCGACAACTTCCCCGCTACCGTACGTGAGCGTCCGTACGTGACCAAAAAAAAACAAAATTTTCACTTATAACATAACAATAGAATCATGCACACACAAAACAACATTTTCGAAGCATAAAAGTTGAAGAAATTACATAATTACTTTGTGAGCCAATGAAGGCAATGACCAAATAATTAAATACAATAAAATTTTCCGCTGTTAACGCAAATTGTGTTTTGCCAATATAAAAATACTGTCTTATTATTATTTATAGCTTATTTTTATTGACAGATGTGAACACCTCAATTTGTTTGTATGTACGTGTCCGCCCGTACCCAAGAGATCGAATTTGTATTATCCGTCCGTAAAATGTCCGTAAGATGTCCGTTGTCCGTCCGTGAAAATAATAAAATTGCCATTATCAACGCAAATTGCGTTTTTGGTAATTGTAAAAATGCTGTTTTTTTTATTTACATAGTTTTCACGTACGTGTCCGTCCGTGCCCGTCCGTCAAGGATGTCCGTCAAGGTCCGTCGAATGTCCGTCAAATGTCCGTCAAATGTCCGTCGAATGTCCGTCGAATGTCCGTTGAATGTCTGTCCGTACGTGACCGTCCGTGCCCGTCCGGGGAGTTAAGTCCCTGAGCCATACTTCAGCACAAACACCGCAGATTGAATTGCCACCACAGCGCAGATGCGTTTCGCATCTTTTGAACCTTTTGTCGCAGGACTTCGAGCAAAAACACTTAGCCGATCGCCCTAAACAATTACTTTGTAAATCACTCGGAAAATTACACACGCTTCGGGTATTGACTCATCGTAGTTCTAGAGCCAAATCCATTACGCAAACCATATTGGGTCGGTGCTTGAAAGTTCCCTGTGAGACGCGTTGGAATTCGAGATACGATGCTGTGAAGCTGTGCTGTGACCCAACAATTCAGCCCAATTTGAATAAATCAATATTGGAATTAAAATCAAATCTAAGTTGCCCGTCTGCACGAAGTCTCGAAATATTAGATAGAAACGATTTCGTAGTAATCGGTGAATACGTCAAGGTGATGGAGCCTGTCGCAAATTCCCTGGATGCAATGCAGAAAGAATTCAATAGCAGCCAAGGTTACATTATTCCAGTGTTAACAACAATGAAACATCTCATCACACAAATTGAAGAAGTGCAAGCCATCACAAAAGACTTCAAAACCGCTATGCTTGGAGCCATTCAAAGTCGGTTCCGCAAATATTCCCAAGCAAAAATCCACACTGAATTGACGTTCCCAAGCATATCTGACACTGTTCCCACACGGTTTTGAACGTCAAACCGTGTGGCTATAGTATAATAGAGTGTGAAGCCGTTTGACATCATTTTTGATTTCGAATAACCGTGTGGATGCAGTGAAAGTTTGTTCAGGTATCAAAAGTTGACATCAAAAATGGTGTCAAACGACTTCACACTCTACTATACTATAGCCACACGGTTTGACGTTCAAAACCATGTGAAAACAGTGTCAGATATGTGTAAACGCAACGTCGATTCAGTGTGAATTTTTGGTTGGGATTATTTGTACGATGAACGAAGCTCTGATTTACATTTTGCTGCTGTTACTATACCTAGCATAAAAACTAGCTACATTGCAAATGACGAACATATAATATATGTAAAACAACTATTAGTTGGTGAATGCAAAAAATTGAGAGAAGAATGTATGACATTCAGCGAAATACCAGAACCTATGCCTACTGTATCAGCATCTGATGATTTTTTAATTTCATTTACCAGAGATTCAATTGAAGGGGAGATTGAATCAGAAGTGTCTCGTTATTTATGCGACGATCGAAAATCGTATTCGATTTTAAATGAATTTCCGCATATTCGCGAAATATATTTTAAATACAACACAACTCTGTCGAGCTCTGCTCCAGTAGAACGGGTTTTTAGTCAAAGCATGATGATTTTCACTCCCCGACGCAACAGAATTTCTCCGAAACACTTTGAACAAACGCTCATTCTCAAACACAACCGGAAATTATTGACATTATGATTTGTTAATGTTTGAAATATTATTTCATCAACTTGCTTTCAAATATTTTTAGTTAATACACGAAATAAAATAAATAAATGTGAATGTATTTCCGTATTACGGTTCTATCGAGCGGCGATTTATGTGACGTTTGTACAAAATAAATTTTATATTATGTTCTCCAACAAACAGATCTGTATTTTCGCCTTTATACTTACAAAATCAGCGAAACAAAAATAAAAAACATACATTTATCTTAAAATTATCTGAAATATGCAGATAGATGAAGCACAAAAATTAAGATCTAGATAAAGATAAAAGATAAATGATGTTTTTTAGAAATATCTAGATGAAGATAAATATGTTATCTTATCTTATCTATCTTTTTTTTATTTTTCAACAACACAATGTTTTGTCAGTGAATTATTTTTGTTGTTGAGTCGGAAATAAAAATGGCGAACGGAGACATTGAAAAAGTGAATATACCGAAATTCAACGGTACGAATTTTACACAGTGGAAGTTTCGCTTGGATTTACTTTTGGAAGAAAAATCATTGAAACAGTTTGTGGAAAGTGACTTGAATTCAATAAAGGAAAAAGCAAAGAACAATGCGTTGTGAGAGAAGCAAAATGTAAGAATTTAATTGCACAAACGATCAGCGACGAGCAGCTCACGTACATCATGGATAAACCGAGTGCGAGAGAGATGTACGATGGATTGTTGAGCATGTTTCAACGAAAGAGCATAACTAGTCAATTGGTTTTGCGCAAGCGGCTGGCACAGGCCCGTAGCTAGAAGGGGTACGAAATATTTGCGCCAGCCCAACAATGTTATTCCTCTAAACGGATAACTTTCATACATGAAAGAAACAATTATTTTTTGTTTTTCAACAGAAAAAAGAACAGTCAGCTGACTAACTGAATTTCGATTCATTTCGTTCTTTATTGCTGTTGCAAATTTCAATATATTCTCGAGATGTTCATGTGTATGGCGAATGTTTATCGTACACGAATTTTTGTGTAAACATAATTAAGAGAATGCACAGCTGAAATTGGAGAGAGTTCGTTTTGAATTTTGTAAACATCAAAATACGAGTGAGTTGTTCAATGCACATTCAAAGTTCGTGGAATTGAAATGATAAATGATTTGATTTGCTGAATAATGCTATTTTGGAGTATTCAAACAATAACAGTGGCAGACGGACGACGAAAAAATTTTTTAGAACGAAAACACAGCGACACTTTTCAAAATTGCTTGAAGCAAATCTGAAGCATATTCGCCGTGTCATTCACGCTACAGTTTTTGATCGATAAAGATTGGAATTGAAAGTTGTTCAAGTTGAAAAGTAAATTGTCAAGCCGAAATGGACAACGAAGGCGAACCAAAAAAGAAACAAGCTCGCATTAGTGATTTATTTGGGAAAATCAAATTGCAAAATCGTTGTAAGTTTTGGCAAACAAAAAAATGCTATTTGAGAAAAGTGTTTGATATGAATCGTTTGGTTTCTTTCTTGTTTTGAATTTTTCTTCAGTTTCAAGTGACACCAATCAGTCGCAACAATTAAACACTCAAAGATCCACTGCATCATCTTCAACCAATATTGGCAACGTTCCACAAACTGCACCTGTAGTGTCACCTACTTCAGAGCTAAACTGTGCAGAATCCGATAATTCAAACATTGATTCAGAAACCACATCGCAAAATGCACCAACCGACCTTATACCAATTGGCGCTGATTGGAAAAAACAAGTGTTTTCGCAGAAAGATTTCCCAAAAAACGAAGAAAGGCGAAGCTTCAAGCCACGCTGGATTGAAAGTCATGAATGGATTGAGTATTCCCATAGTGCTGATGCTATATTTTGTTTCCCTTGTCGTCAATTTGGAAAAACAACGACGAAAGATGATGTTTTTACAAAGGTGGGATACAAAGGATGGAAATTGGCATTGCAAAAAGGCAAAGGCCTCGATAGACACAATCAATCCTTACAACACATCCAGAATATGGCTTCATGGAAGGAAAGAGAAGCTCGTCGTAAGAACGCGACAGAAATTTCAGTCCAATTATCAAGCGATATCATCGAAAAACGAAAATATTATGTCAAATCACTTATAGGTGTGGTAAAATTTCTCGCTGCAAATGAATTACCGTTTCGAGGTGACTGGGAAGGCAGCACCCACACCGAAAAAGGTCTGTTCACGAATCTGCTTGAATACACTTTGCAAAAAGATGCAAAATTGAAAGTATGCTTGGACGTTATACCAAAAAACGCAATATACACGTCACCTGATGTACAGAACGAGCTGATTTCTATTATGGCGGCATTGGTACGATAGCAAATTGTTACAGAAGTCAATTCGTGCGATGGTTTCACTCTCTTGGTTGATGGTACAAAAGACCGAAACAAAAATGAAATTATCTCGATCGCTGCACGTTATGTACTTGGTTCAACACCCAAAGAATCTTTATTATCATTTGAGAAATCAGAAAGCCTTTGTGCTTATCCAATGGCTGAATTTATTTTGGCAAAATTAACTGATTTCGAAATGGATTTAGTGAAACTGCTTAGCCAATGCTATGATGGAGCCAACGTAATGAGTGGTGATCATGGCGGAATCCAGACGATTATTCAACAAAAATTGGAACGGACCATCCCCTATGTTCACTGTTTCAATCACCGCTTGCATTTAGTTGTGATTTCTGCAATAGAGGATATTCAAGCACCGTCGTTGTTTTTCGGTCAAATCAAAATGTTATACAACTTTTTCTCGCGATGGAAGGTCAAACAAATATACAAAGGAACAGTTATTTCCAAGGTGATTGAGACGCGTTGGTCGGGTCATAAACGTGCAATTGATGCTGTTCATAATAACTACAGAGCAATTATCGACGCGTTGAACGAAATCAAATCAGGAACCAAGGTCAAGTTTGACGGTGAAGATATTGCATTGGCAATTGGGATTTTGAACGCAATTCAACATCCAGAATTCATTTTCATGCTCTTGTTTTTGAAAACAGTGTTGGATTTATTGGAACCAACCAATAAACTACTGCAATCACGAGAAATGAGCTATGTCACAGCAATGCCATTAATTGATTTGGTCATCGAAGAAATGAAAAAGATGCAAAACGAAGAAAACTATAATGATTTTCAAAGTAAAGCAACTGAATTTATGACTACAAATGAATTGCCACCAATCCGAGAAAGCCGAAATCGACAACAGTCTATATTATTATCTGACTATGAAGTGATGGAAACGACTGGTCAAAGAGATCCCAACCGTATTCAAACTGCATATTATGAAGTTCTGAAAGTAATGGTGGATGAAATGAATCGCAGATTTACTGAAAATTCGGGTATTTTGCAAGCTATAAGCTCTTGTAATGAAATGAATTTGCAATCACTCAAGCCTCTTTCAAGCATTGGAATCGAGTTACCCAGTGAAAATGAAATGCAAACTGCCAAAGCGTATATTGACAAGAAAAGAAGCGAAGAAAATGCTGATAGCGCGATATTGGAATTATTGCAACCAGTGAAAGCGGCATTCCCAACGGTGTATAAACTGTACTGTTTGATATACACATTCGGCTGTAGCACATCAGTTTGTGAAACATCATTTTCTGCATTATCAAGAATTGATATCGTCAAGCGTTCATCAATGAATAGCAAACGTTTATGTGATTTATCTTTCTTGGCGTATAACAAATATGTACTCAACAATATGTGCGATGAAGAAATAATGCAAAAATTCAATAAAGCAAATCGACGCATATTGTTCTAACTTTCATCTTCTTATTTTTTGAGCAAACCAAAGAGTTTTCAGCCATTACAGTATCATTTACTAATTCGAATTTGATGTTATAAACAACATTTGACAATTTTATGGAAATAAAGCACACAAAGAAAAAAAAACACCTTTTAATTTAGTCACAAATTCTGTCCACCCTTAAAATTATAAAACAAATTTTGAGCCATCTCAAAAATCGGACGAGCCAGCCTTCACTTCAGATTCTGGCTACGGGCCTGGGCTGGCACTCATGAAATTCGACGGTGATGACATGCATAAACACTTTGCGAAATTCGACAATATTATTCGTGAATTGCGTTTGGCCGGAGCCAAGCCAGAAGAATCGGATCTCATTGTTAGTTTATTTCTCACATTGAACGAGAAATATGATGCTTTGATTGAATCGCTCAACGGAATGGAGGAATCGAAGTTGACATTGGCGTATGCGAAAAGCAGACTACTGGATGTGTTTGCGAAGCGGAATAGCGGTACAAAGCAAACGCAATCGAATGGGGCATGTGCAATGCAAGTGAAAAATCCGAACATTGTTTGTTTCAAGTGCGGTAAAAAGGGTAATATTAAGTCACGGTGCAGAGCCTCAAAAGATAAAAATTCGAAAGGAAATTCATCGGATAAGGAATCCAGTGCGAATTCCGCAACAAAAAGTGGTCCGGAAGAGCATTCAATTTTGTGTGCGGTAGTGTGTGATGAGCACACAGTGAGCGCGAACAAAGCGTACTGTAACGGGAACGTAAACAAGGCACACACAAGTGAACAAACGCAAGCGTTGTCATCGGAGAAAAATGACGCATCGGAAATAACGTTTGTTATGGACTCTGGAGCAACGGATGACATGTGCAACGAAAAACGCTATTTTGATAATTTGGTTAGCATTGATGGAATCAATATTTCTGTGGCAAAGAAAAATGAGAAAATCACAGCAACGGAGCAAGGTGATATTTCAATCAAAACATTGTTTGATGGTGATTCCAAGACGAAGAGAATACCGAATGTGCTGTATGTTCGAGATTTGAATTGCAACCTTTTATCGATTCGGAAGCTAGCGAAAAGAGGATACAAAATTGTGTTCGAGGGCGATTGCGCTTACGCCTCGAAAAATGGAAAGACACAATTTGTGGCGCATGCAAATGGAAATCTCTATGAAGTGACGTTTCACGTGGATTGTGACGTATTTGCTGGGGTAGCAGGTGAGGACAACTTGAAAAGTTTTTCTCAGGATTTATGGCATTTTCGATTAGGCCATTTGAACGTGTTCGATATGAAAAAGTTGATCAATCATGGAATGGTTGAGGGCATCGGACGACTCGATGTAAATACAGACAACAAGTTCTGTGAATCGTGTGTTTTAGGAAAACAAACGCGATTACCGTTTGACAAACGAGGAAATAATCGATCGACACGTGCATTAGAATTGATCCATACGGATGTATGTGGGCCCATTTTGAAGAAAGCCTACGATGGATCTTGGTATTTCGTATCATTCACAGATGATTTTACGAAAGCGAGCATGATCTTTTGCATGAAGCAGAAAAGTGAAGTGTTCAGCAAATTCAACGAGTATGTTGCGATGGCAGAAGCGATGCACAACTGTAAAATCTCGAAAGTTCGTGCGGATAACGGCGGTGAGTACGTCTCGAATGAAATGTGAAGGATGAATATCCGATGGTGTTGTGCTCGACAAAGACTTTGTGTCCGACTATTTGCTTAATTTAAATGTTGCTGCCAATGGATCTGATGCAAATCAATCAAGTGATTTCTTTGACTGATTCATCGGATGACGAGCACGAAAAGTCAGTTGTTTTTGTTAGTAAAGAGAAGCCGCCTGAAACTTCACCGAAAACAGTATGTCTTGCTTTGCGAGCGGAAAACAAGAAGCTGAGAAATCGCGTGCATCAAATTGAAGTGAACATGACAGCCTTGCAAAAGCGTGTCGACAATGAACAACAAGTTGCCAAACCGATCGAAATTGATTCACTACCTGAAAATTCCATATTGACCGAAACTAACGCACCAGCTGAAGATGTTTTGGATAGTTTGGACGATTTGAACGGTTTGGATATTTCAATTGATCAAGATTGTATGCGTACTGGATTAGTTTGTTTGTGGATTGAAAGGAAAAAATTTCGAGCGATTGTGTGAGGAAGACAAAAAATTGACCGTGGCTGATGCATTGAAAAAGGCATTGATCGTCGAATCGAAGTCGACGGTGAAACAGAACGACACCGAATGTGAGGTTAACTTCGTGCAAAAGCACCGCAAAAGAGGCAACCACAACAACAATGGCAAGGAGGAAAACAAAGAGAAGGAAGAGTGCAAGCATTGCGGTTGGAGGAACCACACCTCGGAATCCTGTAAATACAAGACAGCCAAATGTGACCGGTGTTCATCCATTGGGCACATAGCAACCGTTTGCAAAGCTCGAAACAAATCAAAGGAAGTTAACTTTGTTTCACCTTCAAAAAATAAGGATGGAAATTTTTTTTCTAATTCAAATTTTTTTCCCAATACAAAATTGGTTTCTAATGCGAATGTTGATTATTCACAGTGTGAAAGCGAAGGACAATTTGGCATTTACACGATGGAAGAAGAGAGTGAAATGGCAGTCGATTCATCGGACATGTACCATGGTTCAAGGGCTTACGTGCTACCAGTTGGAATCACCCGGCAATATTCTGTCAATTTTTCCAAGGGCAAATCACACAAAAGTAATAGAACGTGGAAAAAGTAATACAACTTTTTAGTGAATTGCCCCTTGAATTTCTCTATGTAAAACATGGAGTGTGAAATAGTAGAGCGCCACTAGTGGAGAACGGCAGAATGCGAAAGAAAAAATTTCAAATTTGTTCGCGCTCAAATTCACTCCGTCATATTCATTCTTGTTTTGATGTCGAAACAGTGAAAAAAATAATAAAAAAATAAAAAAAATAAATTTGAAATGAAATAAAATACAATTTAGATTAAATCCGCACATATTTTACAATAATCCATAATGGTGACGAAATATTATGAAATATTGCGAAATCATATGACAAACAACAAAACATGTAAAATATGTGCGGATTTAATCTAAATTGTATTTTATTTTATTTCAAATTTATTTTTTTTATTTTTTTATTATTTTTTTCACTGTTTCGACATCAAAACAAGAATGAATATGACGGAGTGAATTTGAGCGCGAACAAAGGCTAATGCGAATTGAATCCTGAATCTTATTATAAAATTTAAAAGGCTATCATGTGCCATCATATGCCGCTTGAATCGCTACCATCGCCACCAACAAAACCGTTATGAGTCTGACTTTTTTTCAATACAAAATGATCCGTAAACATCTTCTAATGAAAAAAAGTTAGAATAAAATTGTAAATTCCATTTCTGAACTCACAGTTTATTTAAAAAAAATTATTTGCATCAGTGAACTTGAAAAAACTATAATTATTCCACTGCAAATGATTTCCATTTGAAGTTCGAAACTTCGCAATCAACAGCGCCATCTTACGTAAGTCAACAGATATATACTCCGGTCGCCATATTGACAAGTTACAAGTGTGTTGTCGTTTTACATTTCAAGTGGGAATCGTTTGCAGTGAAATAATTGTAGTTTTCCTAAGTTTTATTGATGCAAATAAAATATTTTTTATAAACTGTGTGTTGAGAAATTGAATTCACAACTTCATTCTAACTTTTTTTTATTAGAAGATATTTTTAGATTATTTTGTATCGAAAAAAAAAATCAGATTCATAACGGTTTTGCTTATGGCGCTGGTAGCACTGCGAACTTATTTTTTCGTTCAACATCAACCGACTGAAATGATACCTAGCGGATATGCTGGCCCTTTAAATTTTATCTCAAAATCCGCAATGGTCTTTGAACTAAGTGTTGTCATCACTCTGTAGCGGCGCTCTACAATTGTTCGCTCTCCCGTTATCATCGTGCGGTTGGAATCGATGGGGTCGAGCTGGACGTGGCGTGTGACACGGGTGCACCACTCTCACTGATGTCCATCGGAATCTTCGATCGTTTTTATGAGAGAACAAAGTTGAAACAGTGCAAATTGAAATTCACTGGCTACAGCGGGAAACGAATTCCAATTGTAGGTGAGTTCATTGCAAACGTTACTTATCGTGGCCAAAGTAATAAAATCACATTCGTGGTAACTAATACAAATACTCCGACGTTAGTATCGCGTAATTTTTTGAGGAAATTTAATTTTGAATTAATACAATCGGATAACAACGTAAATACAGTTGAAAATAATGTGAAAACGATTGAAAATTTAAAAATCGAAAGTAATGTAGATTTTGAAAATAAACGTGACGCGGACGAATTGAGCAGAAATATTGTATGCGATTTTAAAGACCCGTTACCGTGTATTGAAAAAAATAGCCGCGAGGCAAATGAAGAGAAAAATATAAATTCTAAAAGCGATCTAAATAACGCGTATAATCAATCAATATTGAGCGAAGAATTGCAAAGTATTTCTAATTTAATTGATAATTTGGATGTTAATATCATCATCGGACCGACGTTCAAAGAGAATGTAAATACATTACGGACGGTTTCGCGTAAATTAATTAAAGCCGGATTAAAATTTGATTTGGATAAAGACGAGTTCTTCAAAGAGAAAATCACAAATTTGAAAATTCGCATTGAATCTATTGTAAATGCATCAATCCTTTGAATTTCATGTCTTTTTGGATATTATGAATTATTTTTCTAAAGTTTAGGTGATTTTTCTGAAAAATTCTGATTGGAAGGAAATTGTAAATCAGAACAAGAAGTGAATTCGAATCAAGTTTTGGTTCAACTCAATCCAAATTTACCATTAACGGTGGAAATGGATTCAAGTCAGAATGCAATAGCGGGAGTTCTATCACATCACTTCAGTGACAATTCTAAAACACCCATTACATTCATAGCGCATTCACTGTCTTCGAGTGTGAAAAATGGAAGTATCATAGAATAAAATAGGCTC